TGCTATCTGAGTGCTCTATACCAGCACACACCAGTGCTATCTGAGTGCTCCATATCGGCACACACCAGTGCTATCTGAGTGCTCTATACCAGCACACACCAGTGCTATTTGAGTGCTCTATACCGGCATACACGAGTGCTACATGAGTGCTCCATATCGGCATACACCAGTGCCACATGAGTGCTCCATACCGGCATACACCAGTGCTACATGAGTGCTCCATACCGGCATACACCAGTGCTATCTGAGTGCTCCATACTGCCATCATTAGCTGAAATCAGCTTGGCAGCTCCCCTGCCTTACTGATTAGCATTCATTGGTACACAAATGTAATTATGAGATGAATTATCTTTCCTGTTATTTACCACTATCTGTTCATGCTGATGTGTCTCTGCACTCCACCAGAGGGCATACGTATGATCGCACACTATGGCCAATCAGAGTTCCTAACATGTACAATGTTTATTCAGAATCATAACATTGTTTGGTTACAAGAACCACAATGTGGAAGTGTTGACTGTTATAGGTTTGCATACGAGCAAGAAGGCGGTGCCCAGGGTGAACCCATCGCCACCACCAGTAACCAGTCTGGTGGGGATATAGAACCAAACTCAAAAGGTCAGTGATCAGGCAACCAACAAAAGAAAAATCATTGCACTGCATTGTGGACATGCTTTGTTGATCCTCCATCCATTTTCCAGACACTTCCGCAGTGCAGGGTCATGGGGGGGCGGCTGGTTTCTGCATCCTGCCTCTGTTGTGTCTCTGCATGTTCTGATGTGGGTCCCCCCCCCCCCCGCAGTACAAAGATATTCAGTAGCTTAATGACAAAATGATGACTAGAACACTATTGGGTAGCTGTGAGTAGCTTTCAGCCAATCAGCCTTCTATCTACGCCCCCGGCAGGGATTTCTAAGGCCGACCCCAGGAACATTCACGACAGACAGGTCACAATCAACACCAGCATCACTCAGGTGAGACCTGAAAGAATGCCGTAAGCCTCAAAAATGGTATTTATTTTGTTGTAAGCCTCAAACTTCTGAACATATACTAAAAATATGCTTTTGTATTGCACTTCCTTCACTTGAGGCTTTGACCTTTCTGCAGTTTCCGTTCCAGCCTGCTCTGGCTGGCAGGGAAGGTCATACCTTCCACAGCGCCACAGACCAGCTCATTCAGCAGGTGAGTGCTGAGCACCGAACACTGTGGATGTACCATGATCGGACCGCTAACAGAGCAGCCTGCCTCATGCCGTGTATGCTGTGGTATCAGAGGTGTAGCTGCCTGAATGTACTGAAGTGTAAAAATACAAAATCCATCCAGGTAAACATGTGCCTTTTGGTAAGAACAGTTATGTTTTGTGTAGAAAGGCATCTCAGGCATGCAACTTAAGCCAGGAATATGAGTTTTAGGATCAGTGCTTTTCCTCAAAATGGGTGAAGTATTATCGTAAATATCTGCTTACAGGGTTAGATGTTTGATATTTTACATGATTTTTTTCACTAGACCAAATCACTCTATATTGATTTATGTTGCTTGTAGCTGGACATCTACAGAAAGCAGAATCCTTGATGGACTCCAGTTATAGCCTTGCTTAGATGAGACCTCTCTTCCTCGACTTAGGTGCTGATAAACCAGGGTCTTGACTGTCTGGTGAATGATGCCCGCTTCGTGGAAGTGACCCGGATGGAAATAGCAGAGGCTTTGTGTCTCGACCCCGTGGAGATGGAGGAGAAAGCCAAGGTCCTGTGTGAGAGACCCGGAGGCCCTGAGGACATGCGGACACCGCGTCTCACACGGGACCCCCCCACGAAGGAACAGCACGTCTAGGGCTCTATGCTCTGCTGCTGTTTGCACACGTTGACATCACAGGCTTAAAAAGCCTTATTTGTTAATTATGCAGAACAGCTGAGCTGTAATTAGCTGACTGTGGCTGTTTGACAGAGAAAGGCTAAGATTCAACTTGACGGTAGATGGTTTTAAACAAGCAAGGAGATAAAAAAAAAATTGGTATTTTCAGATCAAATGAAGATGCAATTCTTTAAGCAATAAAAAGGTTAACGTGAAAAAATTTCATGAATATCATTACTCATTAATGCTTGTAGAAGTAATGGTGAAAATGGAAATCCACTTCTCACAATTAATATCCTAGACTGATTAAGAGCTTGAACAAGCATTCAGTCTGTTTTGTACTTAGTGACATGGACTAAGAAGAAGATGGAAGGCAGCTGAGAGCTCAGTCAGAGGACTGCTGCCTCTCCTTATTTGACTGTTTTTGGGGAAAGCAGTGTTTTTGAGAACTATTTCAGATCAGGCCAATTGGCTCCACTGTGGACAGTGAGCCACCCTGTCTAGAGAAATGTGTGGAAGAGGGGCATTATGGGAAAGTTACATTTGATGGGAAGTCTGGTTTTTGCACCAGAACAACACAAGAATTTGTACCTCTATGTTAATTGAAAATGTGATTTCCTCTAAGTCACCTATTTTCATTTGACTCTTATTTAATTGGAAGTTTATCTGAAATGCCTTGGTAATTTTTTTAATTACCATTTGTTATTTAAATTACAAAATTTTTAATAGCTGGCTACATTACAATTGGTTTACTGTTTGGTTTACAATCTGCTTTAAGATTTTTAATTATATTACTGTTCGTTGCATTGGTCTTTAACTCATCATTAGGTTTATGAAGATGGAAAAACCGAAGGTTGTTTTTCTAATGTGGCATTAGGCAAACCGCACAGCAGGCCCAGTCTTTCGGTTCTTCTCGACTCAGTGACCGATTCCTGTACAGCTGCCAGTAGCTTATTTTAAGCTGTGTTTAATGTAGAAGTGAAGCAGGCATCTCAAGGTCAGGTTTTTTTTTTTTTTGAAGGGCCTACAGCCGGCCAACTGTGGGATATGAGATAGAAGGCACAGCATGAGTCGACGTGGTTTATGTTTCCTTAAGATAGAGTCTCTATTCCTGTGCTCTGCAAACTGCATGACCTTAAAAGTGCACAAAACTGTTTTAAAATGTGATTTTTCTTTATTCACTTACAAGCTTTTCCCTAACACCTGATACCCTAACCCTAACCCTAACACCTGATACCCTAACCCTAACACCTGATACCCTAACCCTAACACCTGATACCCTAACCCTAACCCTAACACCTGATACCCTAACCCTAACCCTAACCTCTCACCATTTTCTCTCCACTACTGCAATGAATTTTCAGTGACATGGGATTTGCTTACAAAACAGGATAATGGTTTTAATATTTGATATTGCAGTCAATTGCAAAATAATAAATTTTTTTCCTCAAATGAAAAGAATGAAGGGCCATTCAGTTGTCTGCATAGCTTGCTGAGCCACAACACAGTGGTCTAAGCAAAGCGATCTCGCTCAGCTGGGCCAGTGCTACACAGGAACTTTTACAGTGTTCTGTTCACTATTATTGAAACAAGTTTAAACTTGGCACAACCCTGCAATGCTTCAGTCAGCTCCCATCTTAAACATGAAATTAACACTTCATAAATACACACATTAGGAGTCAAATGAAAAACAAGAGCAAAAAGCTTCACTGTTGGAAAAAATTACTGCAATAACTTGTTTCCCATACTTTATTAGGTTAACGGTATAAATACTGCATTGTATTAAGGATTATAGCCCTTTATTGCCTGAGAGTGAACTGAAGCGATTGATGTCTCGGTGAGAATATCAATACACAGAAACATGACAAGTGCTGTTCAGGTACATAAATCATTAACGAAACAAATAAAATCCATCCGCTGCTGGCTCCTCAATCAGAAGATCTGTTTTGTAACACGATGCGATGCCTTAAGCATATGGTTACCAAATCGAGACATTTATGATTCTGGAATGTTCTGCTGCTTCACCATGTGCATTTTTTGTGAGCTTGCCATGTTGCATCCATTTATAAAAAACATGTGTGTACTCATAGTAAAATATGAGTTATTAAGAAAAAAAACACTTTAAATAATAAATTTGGACAGATCAACACCAATCTTAGTACCACTGAAGTCTAGAAGCTCACACACAAGCACAGTTCTACAAACGTGTCCATTCAGTTATTATAATAATTATTAAAAATTACATATTTTTTAAATCTAAGCATCGTTATCCAGGACCCGGTTCTCCTAACAAAACAGAGAAAGCCGTTCAGTCCTCATCCTCGAGATTATCCCCAACTGCTACCCTGTTGATCACCTCTACCCATCTGTCTCTGAGTTCCTCGGTTTCTGCCAGGAAAGTCAGAAGTAGCTTCGATTGGCTGAGCTGGAAGGTACATTTGTCACCTGACAGCTGCTTCACCTGGTAGCCCAACAAGGGAATAGTGACCTGCGCTTTCACGTCCTACAAAGCAGACAGAATAGATGACTGTCAACTCTAAGATATTACTGCATGTATATGAGGTTAAGAAAAAACACAGCGCTCCATTTTTCTTAATCAGTTTAAAACCTTTTACACCGAGTATTACAGCAGTGTAGGGAGATACATGTGACATCCTTCTGCTACAAACTGCGTTTCTAAATAAAAACGATTCTGCTATTAGAGATTAAGTATGACTACATTCACAACTGATTGTACTATAAATTTATAAAGGGTGCAAGCTGCTTTGGAGCATTTAGAATAAAGGTTCTTTTGTAAGGCTTGCATTGATTACTGAGAGACGTAGACTAATAGGAACAGGAGAGACGGTGCAGGAGCTCAGTGGAGGCGTGACTAACCTGTGGTGCCAAGTACATGTATAAGACAAGGGGCTCGTCCCTGGGAATGACGAACCAGCCCCTGCTCTTGCCCTGCTTGTCAATCATGGTCAGGAAGCTGCACAGGAGACTGGTGTCTGACACCCCCCCGGCCTCTTTCTGGCGGATTTCAGGTGGAGAAATAAATGAGACTCAGGAACTAACCCTGACCCGGACCCCCCCCACCACCTGACTCCCCAGCATGCAGTCCAGTACACCCCCACGCTTGGGTACCTTCAGTAATGCCCCCCTCCCGTTTCATACCTCCAGTACACCGCACTCCCTTTCATACCTCTGGTGCCCTCCCACCCCCGCTTCACTACCTCCGGTGCGCCCCCCCACCCCTGCTTCACTACCTCCGGTGCACCCCCCATCCCTGCTTCACTACCTCCGGTGCAGCCCTGGCCACCGCTTCACTACCTCCGGTGCAGCCCCTGCCACAGCTTCACTGCCTCCGGTATGCCCCCCAACCCCACTTCACTACCTCCAGTATGCCCCCGTCTCCGAATCCCTACCTCCGTTATCTACCCTGCACAACTTCGCCCCTCTTCCCCACCCCTCCGGTAAGCTCCCCCCACCCCGCCCACCTCACTTTGCTACCTCCAGTACATACCCTGCCCCCGCCTCGCTACCTCTGGTACACCACCTGCCACACCCCTGTACCTCCAGTATGCCCCGCTTTCTCTCCACAGCCGCAGGTCCATCAGCCCCCCCAACTAGCACGGTGTAGCAGTCCCGGCAAACGCGGTTCACCCGGTTGCCGTCATACTGCAGGGCCGCCTTGTAGTCTGAGCATCTCCAGCACACCACCTGTGTTACACAAAAAACGTCACAGAGGCAGAAAGGTGAAGACTGTGCAGACCAGACCAGACTGCATTCCTCCAACATGTTTATGACACAAACACAGCTTATACAGTGCATCCGGAAAGTATTCACAGTGCATCACTTTTTCCACATTTTATGTTACAGCCTTATTCTAAAATGGATTAAATTCATTTTTTCCTTCAAAATTCTACACACAACACCCCATAATGACAACATGAAAAAAGTTTACTTGAGATTTTTTGCAAATTTATTAAAAATAAAAAAACTGAGAAATCACATGTACATAAGTATTCACAGCCTTTGCCATGAAGCTCGAAATTGAGCTCAGGTGCATTCTGTTTCCACTGATCATCCTTGAGATGTTTCTGTAACTTAACTGGAGTCCACCAGTGGTAAATTCAGTTGATTGGACGTGATTTGGAAAGGCACACATCTGTCTATATAAGGTCCCACAGTTGACAGTGCATGTCAGAGCACAAACCAAGCATGAAGTCAAAGGAATTGTCTGTAGACCTCCGATACAGGATTGTCTCGAGGCACAAATCTGGGGAAGGTAACAGAAAAAGTTTTGCTGCTTTGAAGGTCCCAATGAGCACATCATCCGTAAGTGGAAGAAGTTCGAAACCACCAGGACTCTTCCTAGAGCTGGCCGGCCATCTAAACTGAGCGATTGGGGGAGATGGGCCTTAGTCAGGGAGGTGACCAAGAACCCATTGGTCACTCTGTCAGAGCTCCAGAGGTCCTCTGTGGAGAGAGGAGACCCTTCCAGGAGGATGACCATCTCTGCAGCAATCCACCAATCAGGCCTGTAGGGTAGAGTGGCCAGACGGAAGCCACTCCTTAGTAAAAGGCGCATGGCAGCCCACCTGGAGTTTGCCAAAAGGCACCTGAAGGACTCGCAGACCATGAGAAACAAAAATCTCTGGTCTGATGAGACAAAGATTAAGCTCTTTGGTGTGAATACCAGGCGTCACGTTTGGAGGAAACCAGGCCCTGCTGATCACCAGGCCAATACTATCCCTAGAGTGAAGCATGGTGGCGGCAGCAGCGTCATGCTGTGGGGATGTTTTTCAGCGGCAGGAACTGGGAGACTAGTCAGGATAGATGGAAAGATGACTGCAGCAATGTAGAGACATCCTGGATGAAAACCTGCTCCAGAGGGCTCTTGATGGTTCATCTTTCAGCAGGACAACGACCCTAAGCACACAGCCAAGATATCAAAGGAGTGGCTTCAGGACAACTCTGGATGTCCTTGAGTGGCCCAGCCAGAGCCCAGACTGGAATCCGATTGAACATCTCTGGAGAGATCTTAAAATGGCTGTGCACCGACGCTTCCCATCAAACCTGATGGAGCTTGAGAGGTGCCGCAAAGAGGAATGGGCCAAGCTGGCCATGGATTGGTGTGCCAAGCTGGCCATGGATAGGTGTGCAAAGCTGGCCATGGATAGGTGTGCCAAGCTGGCCATGGATAGGTGTGCAAAGCTGGCCATGGATAGGTGTGCCAAGCTGGCCATGGATAGGTGTGCAAAGCTGGCCATGGATAGGTGTGCCGAATTGGCCATGGATAGGTGTGCCAAGCTTGTGGCATCACATTCAAAAATAATTGAGGCTGTAATCACTGCCAAAGGTGCATCAACAAAGTATTGAGCAAAGGCTGTAAATAATTATGCAAATGTGATTTCTCAGTTTTTTATTTTTTATTTTATAAATTTGCAAAAATCTCAAGTAAACTTTTTTCACGTTGTCATTATGGGGTGTTGTTTGTAGAATCTTGAGGAGAAAATGAATTTAATCCATTTTGAAATAAGGCTGTAACATAACAAAATGTGGAAAAAGTGATGCGCTGTGAAAACTTTCCAGATGCACTGTATCTCACAACTGGTCTTATAAAACACCCATCAGTCAGGTTTTTGACATGCAAGTTCCTATGATGCATCATTATTTTCTGACAATGAACTAAGATTCTGGAAAGTATCTATCAGAGAGGCGGAAACAAGCTTCACTTCTGCTGGCTGGTAGCCTATTTGTCAGTTATTGGGTCTTGGGATTATAAGGATCTTGGGATCTTTGACCAAAAGGTCCAAAAACTGCAAAGGTCCTCATGCACATCTTTAGGGTGCCGTTTCACCTAACTACAGAATTTCCACAGGTGATAAGCCACAACATAAATAGGCAGCAATTTAATGACATAAGTGATGCATGCAGCTTTGGATGCTAGAATCAATGCATCAGGAATACAGTAATCTCCTCCCAGCAGTCGCAGTCTGGGTCCAACCTCAGCAGTTGCAGTCTGTGTCTAACCTCAGCAGTCGCAGTCTGGGTCTAACCTCAGCAGTCGCGGTCAGCAGCAGCAGCTTGCGGAATCTCACCTGACCACACGCACGACAGTGGTGCCTCCGGCGAATCAGAGCACTGAACTTTTCCCCGCAGCGCATGCACATAGACACCAGGTTGTCCCGAATCCACTGGGGGGCTCGCTTGCCCAGCTCCTGATGCTCCACCACCTGCCAGTCAGACAGAATTCAGTAAAGTGCCCCACAGGGAGGCGCACTGACTGTAGAACAGAACCCATTATCAAATGACTACAGGTCGCAGAGCTCATAGGACATTTCTGCATTCCAGCTGTATGAACTGGTGTTTCACTGCAGCTGTAATAACTCAGTTAAATGTTTTTTTCTTTCTAATTCCTGCCTGGGGTTTCCTTTCCAGTGGATACCTGACCTGCTGCTCCTCTGGACTTGGGCAGCTGACCGCACTCCTGAAACTTTCAGATTTCTTCTCATTCTGCTCGATAGCGCTCTCACAAGCCTGGGATGGATGTTAGACAGAAGTCTGTGGATCGACACCCACGATCTTAAACACAATGCAAAATATCAGGTGGTACCTTAATCCACGCCTCCATATCAGCCTGAGACCTGGCATTCAGCAAGGGAAAAAAGCAAAAAATCAGCTTTAAAGAACAGAACAAACGGATCCCTGTCAGCAACACAAATGTTTTGAATCATGGCTTACGCAGGACTAAGACCCTTTCATTTGGCCCATGAAAATCCCATAAATTCAAATATGGGAGATAATTCAGTGGTTTTCACACAAGACACTCGCCTTTATGAAAAATGAAACAATCCAGACATTTGTCAGCCACTACAGACTAGACCAGCCATTCTCAACCCATGGGTCGCAACCGTTCTGAAAGGGTCACAAGGCAGAATTGGAAATGTGAGCATTTTAAAACCAGCAAGCTCCTATGCTGATCCACGATCAGATTTTCCAGCCCAGTTGTAAAATTAACCTAAATTAATGGGTCTTGTTTAGAGCAAAACTACTGAATACTCAACCAATCCACGAAACCAAACCACAGATGCTTAATTTAAAATTCACTGGCACATCCAATCAGATTTGTGCGACAGGCATTGATTGGCGTAAATTACAGAGTGCAGTGTGCGATTCATCATAGCATTAATTTAAACCTATACTTGATATAGGGTCAGACTGAGCTGGCATGGTAAAGATTGAGTCGTGGTGCAAAAAAGGTTAAGAACCACTGGGATAGAATACCTTCTCCCTGCAAGATGACAAACAACACAACGGAAAATGTGTTTTTACATTAGTGGGGCCTCCAATGACCCCATTTCACTGCAAACCCGACTATGAAAATAAGGCTGTGGCTTTTCTCATTTTTAATGTCTTTATTTAAACTTTTTTTTATTTAGGACATCTGTTTTTCAGTTTTCAAAAACCACACAGACAACAGAACAAACAAAGACTGTCGCTGGAAACGCATCAGTCTCACCTGGCCTGAATCTCCAGGGTGCAAGATTTTCCAGAGATCAGAAAGGAGTGGGGAATCTCGGCATCTTTCATTTCCTTCACCTGCAAAGATTAGCAGCGAACACAGGATAGCGCATGAGGAGATGCGGACAGCAGTGAGCAGGCGAGGTGGGGTGTGCGGGTGAGCCGCAGGCGCGCGGCGGGTTCGGGTTCGTACAGGAATACCGATACCTGCATGTCCTCTATGTCCACCTGAACCTTGATCAGGAACCGGGCTCCTGTCAGACTGAATCTGGGCACGCAGTACAGCAGCATGTTGTTGAACTGCCAAGAACAGCATTTCAGAGTGACTGTGATGCTGGAAACACATGGCAGACCCTGAAGGCTCTCATTCAAGGATATACCCCGTTACTGCAGTCACATGAGCCGCTTCAGGGCAACATTTGTACAGACAGGTAGAGAAGGGAAGGGTGGACGGGATGGTGGGCATTGGTGGACGAGGAAGGGGCTTCCCCACCAAAAACAGGTGGCTCTCTTTGCCGATGTTGTTGCGAAAGGAGATCTTTAGCACTGGCCCTTCCCGCAGCAGCCGGTTGGATGGATCCACCATTTCGTCTCCCATTCCGAGTAAGGAATAGACCTCCCACAGCTTTTCCAGGCGTTCCTGAGCATGAAAGGGAAGCTTGTGAATGAGCACATTTGCATTCACAGTTTGCTGTAAAATAGAGCAGAAGCAATAAGAGTCCTTCTTATATTGTGAAACTAACTTCCAGTTTCCTGACATAGCAAGTTCTTCGCTTTCAAATCCACTTTCAAATCCAGATTTTTAACTCCTGACCTTTGATTTTGGTGTAAGTGAGAGACTTCGGAAAATGAATCTCTACTAATAGCAACAGGGATTTTTAGACAGATGACTTCATTACAACAGTACCCAAAATGTACTCTAAGGGGGGGGAATTAATGAAGTAAAACTGCAGAACAATTTTAGACAATTGGGTGTTTCTGTCTGTGGGAAGTTTCAGGAAACCAGGCAATGATGAGCACAAGAGAACAATGTCCCTCAAAGAGGAGAATTATGGGCTCACACCTGATGTTACCATAAGCAGGAGTACGTTACCATATCAGCAATAGCTGCGTTGGAGTGTTTGGCTGCCTCAAAAATTATATCCAGGGCTTCTGAAATGCAACACAATATTCCTATGTATGTTTCTGGGATTCCACAAGAATTTGTTTTATTCAGGTACTTCTAGAACAGAAATAACACTGACTTGGATTCCAAGTAACATTTAAATATTTAAACATTCCCATATTATACCACATCTTGTGCACATAATAATGTTAGCGGTGTAAGAATACAGGATACTCACAATTTGGTTCAACAGATGATTCAGGGTTTGTGGTTTGAGACACTCACTATATATTCAACAAAACGAGACTGAAAACTAACTTGGATCTCAGTTCTTATTCCTTTTTAGGCATGAAATGTTTTTTCCAAACAATTTTGCTTTTTATTGCTATTTTTTCCTTATTCTGTATATTCCAGTACAAAATGCAAAAATAAAATCTCAAAGCAAAACTGAGATAACGCCTATTGCACCCTCTTGCTTTCATAATAAATGATTTTGTGCCACAGTGCGTTGTTACACTCCTTCATAATATACAGTATACACGTCACGGCATGTAAGCAAATGCAGTCACTCACTCTGAGCGTCTGGCCGGTCAGCCGAGTTCTCCGGAAGTTTCTTCAGGTAATCCTTCAGTAACATCTCGTAGCGAGGGATTCTCTGGACAGGTTCCAACATGTGGTGCTGTAGGGTCAGATTTGCACTTGCCTCTTGTTTCTAGAGACATATGGAGAGAGAAGGGGAGATGATTGTAGGCTGGCTTTTTGGTAGAATAAAATAGTTTCCTGCATAACACTTTACTTGAGGAGACACAAATAATAGTAATTACAGAGATCAGTATTTCACGTTATTCATTACTTGTTCCTTCAGTACTACACAAAGGTTTACAGAATTAACTGGTATAACAAATATAGCAACTGCTTGAGATAAAAGATACTTCACAATTCATTAGTGACAGTAGTATGTAACTAAGACTTAACTTGTAGTTAATTCATTAGTAAGAGCTTAATGCTATATTATTTGTGCCCCCCTGAAGAAAAGTGTTACCATTTCCTGTTATAAAAAACCCAGTTTTTTTGTACAGCAAACAGTCCCGTAAGACACAGGAACCAAAGTATAGAACAGGGCAATTTTATCTGCACCCAATTTCATCCAGTCAGACTAGAGCCCTGCGCGGGACTATTTTTTTAATCCCGCTCCCGCCCACTCCCGCTGAATTTCTGACCATTACCGCCCACTCCCGCTGAATTTCTGACGATTCCCGCCCAATCCCGCCCGCTGTCTCTGTCACTCCCGCCCGCTCCCGCCCACGACAATCTAAAACCCGCCCAATCCCGTGAGATTTGCGTTGGGTCCCGCGGGATCCGCGGGATCCCGCTCCCAATGCAGGGCTCTACCTGGGAGTACAGCAACGGGGAAGGTGTGTCGCCTCAATCCCGAAGTGCCAGATTTGTGCCCGTTGTACACTATCGCTTTGCCGCACTTCACACAACACACAAAGTTCAGCTATTTACCCTCTTTGTTTGTTACAATTTTAAAGTTTTTCCATATCTCCGATTTCCCCAATTTTAGTTTTGTTTTATATTCTCCCTTTGCAATTTTATTAACAACATCAGCTGCATCCTCCATCCTGCTAAGCTAACAATTTTGGGACCCGCTGTCTATTTTTATCCCGCCCGCTATCTCTGTCACTCCCGCCCGCTCCTGCCCACGACAATCTAAAACCCGCCCAATCCCGTGAGATTTGCGTTGGGTCCCGCGGGACCCGCGGGATCCCGCTCCCAATGCAGGGCTCTAAGTCAGACCACCCCATGTAATTCCTACTCCCCCCCACGCCCCCAAAACTCTAAAATCCCCCTCTACAGATTCTCCAAAAAAGTCTTTAATAAAAGCCTTTGTGTTACTTGTCTCTATGTAATCAGAAAGTTAATGATTTTGTTATGGACTACCTCAAGAGACACAAGCTGAAGGTTTTGGAATGGCCATCATAGTCCCCTGATTTAAACATCATTGAAAATTTGTGGGTAGACCTTAAAAGAGCTGTGCATGCAAGACGACCAAAGAATATTACAGAACTAGAAGCCTTTTGCAAGGAAGAATGGGATAAAATCCCAAGTACAAGAACTGAAAGACTTTTAGCTGGCTATAAAAAGCGTTTGCAAGCTGTTATATCTGCCAGAGGAGGTGTTACTAAGTACTGATTATGTAGGGTGCCCAAATTTTTGCAGAGTGCCACAATAATGTTTTTATTTTCTATCTTTTTTTCAATTTATGACATAAAAAGTAACTATGCATCAATGTTTGGTGTAAATATTGTGCATTTTTCCATTTCCTACAGAGACTGTGTTTACATCTTTTCCATTAAAAAATGACCAAAATATGTTATTTATCGAAGGGTGCCCCAACTTTTGCATACTACTGTATATCCAAGTTAAGGATGCACAGACACTTCAAACTCATGTTCAACTTAACATTCATAAAACTAGGTACTTTGGCACTAGATGGCCACATCAAGTCACTTTGGTAACCAGTGGTTCAATTCAAACATCTAACGACATTACAGTCACAACACAGACACAAAGGTTACCCACAGTCATGATGTTCAGAGCTGTCAATCACTAGCGAGAAGCTCCCCCGCTTTTAAACCACCCACCTGAAGTTGCAGAACGAGCTCCTCAAAGCGAGGGCTCTTTTCCCTCCACGTGTTGATGAGCTCCATAGCACGGTCAAAGGCCTTAACATATTCTCCATACATCTTGAGGAAGGGCGCAACCTTCTGGAGGACATCGCCAATACGAGGGTTTTCATCCCTGTTGTGGAGAACGTCTGTGTCTCATTTTTCATACAGTTTTCAGTCAACATCAAATACAAATTAAATAAAAAATTGCCCAAGAATTCCAAATCATGCATTATAAAATTATATTAAAGTAGCTATGTAACACTGTGTGAAAATAAATACCAGAAAATCTAAAAGAACAACAGAGAACAGAAATCCTGTCTGAGTAGGTATGGAAGCACAGATTGACGTCCAGGTGCTTTAACTCCTTAGGGTCTGCTTATGTAACTATGAGCATTTTAATCTAATCTTATGCAGGTCTGTGCATGTTAAGTGTGCATACTCTCGTCATGTATCTCTTGAATACGTTTCCTCTCGCAGTCCAAAGACATGAAATTAAAGTGGGAGTTGCTCACCACTCAGCCATGCGTCTTTGCAGTTCAGGAAGAAGAAAACCACCATGGAACTGGTGGATGCAGGAGATGTTGGAGAAGATCTGCCGAACCACATCCTCAGGGAAGGAACCCAAGCGTGCTTCTTGTAGCAGTGTGAAGAAGAAGCCCTACAGAGAAACATGCTAGCTAGCTGTACTGTCACTGCTTCAGAAACTACCAGGACACCAGCAACAGGCAAACAGCACTTTAGAATTCACAGTGACTGGCATTATCATGTGCTGCCAGTCACCAGCAGGGGCTGGTCTCATAGCCGACTCCAGGCTTTTCTCCGGGGGTGCAAGGTGAGAAAGCCTGACCAGCCATTCATCCAGATAAATATATTTGTAACAAAATAAAATAAAATAGTAAAGGCATTTACAATAAATTATTATTACACACTGATATGGCTAACATTAGTAACATAGTCAAATATAACTTTACAATATAATTCAATTTACTGAACGCAACATATTGAAATAGAATTTTCATCATACCAGTAGAGGGTGCAATTTCACTCGCTGAGTCCCTGTTAAAAATCACCTGAGGCTGGACTCCCTTTCCATTCCCTACTTCCCACTGCTTAAACCCAAGCAATAAGGCAGCACACAGCAAGAATAAGTCACTGTGGGTTTTAATTAATAACTTCACCCTGGACGCACACACTGATGGCAAAGAATTACAAGCAATAATAATTATATGTGCTTCCACTTTTTCCTTCTTTATAGTTTTAGTCATTGGTTTTCTGATGGAACAGTAAGCACTCCAGACCCTGTCACAGAAACCATTGCTGAGAGCCATGTGGTTTGAAGCAGACCAGGTAAAGTTCTTCAGAGACCCTACCTGGTCCAGCAGCTGCAGCCGCTTGACGTAGGCCTTCTCTGTCTCCAGTAGCTCACTGGCAATCTTGTAGAGCTTCTCTCTGTTAGTCTCCTTTTAGCAAAAAGCATTGCAAGTAAGTCAAGCATGGTGACATGTCTGATTAAATATCAGGAAAGGCTCCAATGTTGTAGCCCTGAGCAAAGCATAATGCTCAACCTGCACTGTCTTGGAAATGTACCTACTGAGGTACGCAGCCTGTATTTGAAGCCCAGTTACCATTTGGCACTTGCTTGCCCTGTAAACTGCAACTTCTGACCTGAAGAACAGCTTTGTGCATGCAATGAGGAAATAGATTTAATAATGTTTATATCTAAACAACCCCCCACAAACCACACATAGAAGGAGGAACCGCTGCCAGAAATGCGTCGGTTTCTCTTCTCACTCCTATTATGATGAAACGCATGTTCTCTAAATGATCTGTGTTATGCATATAAACACAGGAATATTAAAACCTGTGCCAATTAAACTGAAATGAGTGTTGCAAAGAGATCTAGACAAAAAAAACCCTTGACACAGTAAGGAAATGGAGGCAAAGTACAGGTTACAAAGAATGCATACCCCTGAAGTTAGATGGACAAAGGAAGAAAACCAACTGTCTCACTTTTGTGCCTTGTATGTATCTGCTAGTATCCTGAGTGTATGATCTAGACCAGGGGTCTCCAACTCCGGTCCTGTTGAGCTACTATCCAGTCGGTTTTCAATCCTACCTGGCTTCTGATGAGCCACACCTGTTCTCAGGTAAATACCAGGAGCAGGTGTGGCTCATCAGAAGCCAAGCAGCACAGAAAACCTACTGGATCGTAGCTCTCCAGGACCGGAGTTGGAGACCCCTGATCTAGACAAACTCAACATCTCCCTACAAATAGCCACAAACAGAACCAACATTAATTCAGCTCAACACAACAGAAGTCATATTACCTGTTTTTTCATTTTCTCACCCTCCCCTTCCTGGTCCTCCCCTTCCACTTCAGTAAGTGGGATTAATGCTAAAGACAGCCGAGTGCTGGTGGCCTTTCTCCTGAAGGTCTGCAGCCCTCTCCATTGAGATTTGGCACCCCCTACTGGTCCAAAATCAGTCAGATCTAGGTATTTCTGGGACTGGGTGTTCTCCATGTCTGCATTTTCTTGTGTTAGCTTCTCAGGCTTGTTGGGTAAATCTGGCCTGAAGCAGGAACAGAGTGTGCATGAATTTTCTGCTTCTGAACAACCAAGAACATGATCATTGATTTTTACTGATCAGTCCACTCAGCAAATGCTACTCTCCAGAGTGACATACTGAGATTCCGAAACTCAATATACACAACCACAGTAAAAGCATGGACAACACTGGCATTTCAAGTCTAATCCGCCATATACAAGACATCACATAAGTAACTTTTGTAGTATATCTCTAAACAGAGTTACATTATACTCAGCTCAATAAACAGTGAAATTACAGACAAAAAAAAGAGCGCCAACAACAGGGGATGTGGAGTTGAGTGGGTGGGGAAGCTGCATCAGTGTTGACAGCTCAGAGTCGGCAGAATGCCTCCACCACTGCACCACCGGGCCCTCGAGCCCCAGTTACTCCAGGGACCAGCTGGCCCTTCTTTCAGTTGTACTTCACTTTGAAATCACAGTTATGGGGGGTTCAACAGGTTAGGCTTCTGTGCCTGTGACTGATGGGTTACTGGGATGAATGATGTCACCTGTGCCTGTGACTGATGGGTTACTGGGATGAGTGATGTCACCTGTGACTGTGACTGATGGGTTACTGGGATGAGTCACCACTAACAAGGCTCTCGGACCTAAGCCCCCTTCCCCCAAGAAGCTGAGCCCATACCAAACGTCTGCTATCTTTGTTGGAAGATTCAGTTCCCTTCAGTGAGACGTCACTGCAGTTCTCTACTAACAAAGCTAGAATGTACACATAACATAGTTTCTTTTTTACTAGATGTTTTACTTCACTTTTCCCCGAATAGCTGCAAAGAAATTCACCTTTTTATAAATGGCTGAATGGATAAAATGGTTTATGGTTTTATAACATTAAATCTAGATGTTTTAAGACTTAAGACCCAAGCATTCGGTTAAGTGCTTAAAGACTCAAAGCTACATTTATCCCCACTAATTATGGCTGCTAAAATACATTTGAGTTTGCAGGAAAATAAAGAGCAGATCATGAAATAAATGCATAAAAACAGTTCAACATTAAAGAAATATTTAAATCAATATTTAATAAAACCTTGTTTAGAACTTTGAGGGAACAACATTGACAAAGATGCCGAATAAAAGCAAAACCAAATTAAAATGAATATGTAATTAAGGGATTATTCCTGAAAAAAAAAAAAACACTTTTGAGGTGTTAGATGTTACAAAAGTTCAACCAGAATATCACTCTCAGTTTAATCACAGAATCAAGCTAGTTAGTCACCTGGTACTTTGGCTGCAAAAATAACAGATTATCATCCAATCATTAACAGTACCATCATTTTTCTAACTGGCACAAATTCTCACCTGTTTTTTTCGAATTTTGAAATGATGTCAAGCACGCTCAAGCGGTTCCTGCAGTCGTCCATGTCTATGTGAAAACGCACAGAAGTGAAAATGCAAGTTACACTCCTATGCACTAGGGGTCCATGTGTTAGATAAGACTTTACAAGTGTGTTAGATATCTACTCCTCAAACCAAAAAAAGAGGAAGAGTCCCAATGAAAACAGGAGGGGTTTCAACAGCAAATATTAATATGAACTTGTGTATATTATATGTATTTAAACACAGTTTAAATACATATAATTTGGATAATAATACAGTTTAAAACATTTTCTGTTTTTTTTTCTATTTTAAATAATCTGTAAAACAGCATTTCTTTGATTTCATTTCAATTGCATTTCTTGGTAATGTCAATATATACTCCACTTTAGTATTTCACTTATGAATTCCTAAATTTTGTGGGAAAAGACCCACAATTATAGTAATTGTTGCGTGCAACTCACTTCACAATTCAATTCACTTTAGCTTAGTTTATGTTTATGACACATTCAGAAATGTGCGATCAAACCAGATACAAGATTTGGTTGTAAAAACAACAAACAAAAGGCACAGTACTGTGGCATTAACATTGCAGAACAAAGCAACGTTTAAAGGAGCAATTCTGTGTAATTCTTTAAATCACCATTACATGGGGAAAATAGGATCATAAACAAAATATAATAAGCGTGAAATTTATCAGACGTACTGTACTTATCCGTGAATACAAATATTTCATCCACACTTTTCCCTTTGCTGTTCATTTACCAAGCCAGAAAGGATGATTCTAGTGCAGTGTCTTCCTATATGATGCAACTGGATTTTAGAGATGCAACATTTTCACGATTTAAAATTCTTTTCACCAAGGTTTGTTAGTGTTTGGGCTTGTTAGCTAACTGTGTGATGAGCTGTCAGGTTTGCGTTTGCAACAAACATCAGTATTTAAGGTACAATGCTGAGAAACCAAGATTATAGTTTAATAACAAATGCTATTTTTCTTACATGACTTACTGGTAGTTTTTAGCTTACACCTTAACACTATTTAGCCTAAATAATAGCCTACTTTTTGAAGTATGGGAACATAAGTGCTTCAGATCTATTTTACGTAAACAGGAAGTGCCACTGCATGAGTTGGTGAATGAATCAGAGCAAATCTTGTAGGTGAACTGAATCAAACGAACTGTGTCCCAAAAAACAGTAATTCACCCATCACTAGTTGATATATCTTGTTCAATTACTAGGACCGTACAATCAAAATCTAATACGTACCGCCTGCGCCAGAGACATCTGTTGTGTAGATCATAAATTTGGCCAATTGCATTTTCTCTGCATTATCGGTGACAGGACGCACCTCTGTATATCTGCCATCTGCCATGGATGACAGGTGTATAGCACACTCACTGTTGTAATTAGTAAATATCTATCCATATATTTTTTGAGAAAGCAGGGTCAAGGGTTAAGGGGGTTAAGGGTCTTTCTCAAGGGCCCAGCAGTGAAACCACAGGACATGAACCAATGAACCTTCGATCACAGGAACAGCATCCTAACCGCTGAGCCACACAGCCCCCACACGGCACGGCAGTTCTCACTTTTGCCTGGCTTAACGTTCCTTATTATGAAAAGAAGGTGTGTGGCTCAGCAGAAAGCTGCCGGATCAAATCCCATTGTCAGTAGAGTGATTTCACTGGTGGGCCTTGAGCAAGGCCTTTAACTCCAGCTTGGCTAACCATAAGCCCCTCCCACCCGTGGCTGGCTCCAGGCCCCACCTCTGCTCTCTTTTTTTTTTAAATGATTATTTTTCTTACCACGCTCCATTTGACGAGAACTACACTGCTATACCAGACGGATGCCCATCAAAAAATCTATTTAGTTCATGGAAATTTGATTTTAGAGAGGATAGGGGAAATCACAGTCACAGTGCAATGCCTATTATGTTATCCAGCTGTGAAAATACTAGCAACATCAAAGACCTCAGCATCAAATTTAAATAAACATGTAGAAGACTATAAGACCAACAGCTAACATTAGCTGCAGAGATCCAGGTTTCGATATCCAAAGTTAGTTAGCAAAGTATTATGCACTTTACACAAAGCTGGACAGGTACATCAGTTACCAGCATTACAATACTATTTCTACAAATTAATACAATACTGTACCGTACTTCAGTTTTATTTGTATAGCCCAATTACATGAATTCAGTTTCATTTGTATAGCCCAATCACATGAATTCAATTTCATTTGTATAGCCCAATCACATGAATTCAATTTCATTTGTATAGACCAATCACATGAATTCAGTTTTATTTGTATAGCCCAATTACATGAATTCGGTTTTATCTGTAGAGTCGCAATTCACATGGATACACCGTCTGTCCTTAACCCCTCGTATAGAATAGGATAATTTCTGCATTGTGGTTATTATATACTAAACTGCTTTCCGTTGTACACATAGTTTTACCTGTTCTTTACCTGTGTTTACCGCATTGCCTAATAAAAAATTATCTTTTTGACATTTATTTACTCTTGTCTTTAGTTGGCATTCATGTAATATGAATGTAACTAAAGTAGTTTGTTACATTACTTTTATTTTGAGATACTTAGATTACATTGTTTTCCAGAGGTAACTAGTAACTGTTCCAGATTACATTTTTAAAGTAACTTAGCCAACCCTGGTTGTTCGGGTGGGGTGAATTTTCCCACTGATTCTGGTAATTCTGTTCTGGCACCGCCTGAAGTAATGTTCTACAGAGAAGGAAGACCAGCCTTGCCGATGCGTTCAGCTGAACGTACCACTCTTTGCAGTGCTTTACAGTCCAGGGTAGAGCAATAATTGCCACTCCAGGCAGGAATTCCCATGGTCTATTTGCTAGAAAACAATATAGTTTCAGATTATTGTTTTGTGTGTTAAAAAGATATTAAGCAAATTTCGCCCCCAATAATAAACATGCATCTGTTTTCACCTCACAACTCTTTTCACCTTAACCCACTTGCCCACGGGAAGCAGAAACCATAATCTTTCCGATACACATTAGTAAGACTACCGAATGAGTCCGACTTCTCTAAATAAATATCTGCAATACTTTTGCCGGCAAAAATTCCACATTTTGCTTTTGTGCTTGATGTCTTGCCTCTCCCCCATAATTCATAGGAGAAGCATACAGCAGCAACCGCCCTTCTCAGGCCCCAGTCCGCCGCTCTCGGGCCCCTTCCGGTTGGGTTGACGCATGCGCAGACAACAAAGAAATACGTTCATGATCCGTTTCATGAGTTTCCGAAGTGAAATTTATCTGTTTAGAAAAAATGTCCTAGGCATATATTTGTGCGCGATATATGTTTCACGATTGGCAAAGTATTATAAATCTAAACATGTTATATCTTCATTTTATTTCTTCCTGTTCATGCATAAAAATTCACACAAAAAACGAAAACAGCATTGTTGTTATCAGCAGTTGTCTATGATAACTTGTCAAAGTCGTGCCTAGATATTTATTGAGCGCTTAAAACCCTAAGTTATAATATGTTATAAAGATTTGGAAACATCTACCGCATTACCGATTGCGTTATTCATTCTGGATACGTGAAATAGATTTACATCAGGGTTAAAACAGTAATGAAGCAATGTCGTTAGATGATGATTATTTTTAAAATTGTATCCTCTTTTTCGCATGCGGGGTTCTAAGAGTGGCGAATTGTTCTGTGCATGCGTGAACCAGAAGGGGCCTGAGAGCGGCGGGGCTTGAGAAGGGTGGCTGCAGTCCTATATTATTGAACTATCGAGCAAGGTCGCCAACTCTCAAGCATCTGGCGTGACACTCACGCTTCCTGACTGTCACGCTCACGCAAGAAATCCTAAGACAATGTGTATTGAAAAAGTGCGTCGGCGAGCCATGTTGCTGGTAATAATAAGGCCGAAACGGCTCCGGGTTTGGACACTTGAGGGCGTTCTTTTATTCCTGTACCATTTCTACTAACAACGCATTCGCACTGCCCACCCTGCCAGTCACCCCGCGTACTCCTAATATGCGCGGTGGGCAGACACACACACACCGACACGCTATGTACAAAAGACAACCATGCAACACTATACGTGACATAAGAACACAGCACATTTACATTACAACGCAAGCCGCTACGTAGAACAATTTACAAGGCTGGCATCAGTCCAATCTGCCGCACTGTCCGCGCTACACTATCATTCCATTATAAATCTAAAATAAGCTACATCCAAAGCAATGGGGTAGTTTGCAAACCCTACAGACTATTTACAGGGTAATGAAATAATTACATACATGCAAATCGTGTGCATGTGTGTGCAGACGTCTCGAAATGAACATCTCACGACAGCCAGCTGACCAAAGTTAACCCTGCCGAGATAAACCCAAATTGACTTGCGTCTGATGGTTCCGGTTCCAAATACGGACGCCGACGGATACCTTTATATGTAAATTATAAAACATGCACAAAGAAAGTTAACTTTTTAATTAATTAAAAAGCCCAATTACATGCGCGCACACACACACACACATATATAAATATATAAAAATGCATTTAAGCAGGCATGTTGTCTCGGGGGTAGGACAGCTGTGGAAGTTGTCCTGTGATGTGGGGTGCAGAAGTGGGCCTAGGAGCTCAATGTCGGAGGTGAACGAATGTTTTAGTTGAACGAAATCACAAAAATCGTTTAGTGCATATTCGTCGGTAACTCCGAATTTGGACAACAGTAGAAAAACCACCTCATTACAGCCGCCAGAGGCCACTAAAGACCAGTATTGTAAAAAAGTAACGTTCTTCGACAATCACGAAAATGAAAGCAATTTAAATGGATCATCTTGCTTTTCGTGTGAAGCCGTACATGATTTGTTGCATTTAAAAATACATAGATACGCATTTAACATAAATGAAAATGTTTAATACGTAACTGACAAACTGAATAAAAAGCAATTTTTGCACATGTTTCTAAGACTACAGCAATTCAATTTCTTTTCCATCACCACTGTTCCACCTTCCTATTCCTGTATTAAAATAATAATATAGTTTTATCCTATTTAACCCATGTTCGACATTTTCTAATTTGTTACATACATACACATACATACACATACATACATATATGTACATACATACACCCATACATACACCCATACATACCTACACATACATACACCCATACATACATACATATATGTACATACATACACCCATACATACCTACACATACATACACCCATACATACCTACACATACATACACCCATACATACATACACATACATACACCCATACATACATACACATACATATATGTACATACATACACACATACATATATATATGTACATACATACACACATACATACATACACATACATACATATATGTACATACATACACCCATACATACATACACATACATACATACATACATACATACACATACATACATACATACACATACATACATACACATACATACATACACATATGTACATACATACACCCATACATACATACACATACATACATACATACATACCTACACATACATACATACATATGTACCTATAGCTGCTTACACCTTTATAAAACAAGTGATTTACTCAAGCAGTTAAGGTTATGTGTTAAGAATATTTTCTTGATTCTTAAGAAAATATAATATAATATAATAATAATAATATAATAATATAATAACGTGAGCCTTTTCACCATAGCACACAGTGAAGGGGGGTGTTGGCGGCCTTCATGGGGGGGGGGGGTCAGACACTTGGCACAGGGGCACTGAAAAGGGCTTAGACTGAAAATATTAAACCAATTGTAATAATGGAAATTATTATGACACCCCAATGTTTCCAAAAATACATGTTATCACAGTGTTTGTATTTGTTATTGTTTGCATGACATATTTTAACAGAGTGGCTGAGCACGATTCCATAAAGCCGCATGAAAAACAGCCCTTCTGCTGACAGTCTTCATGATTTTGCTACTTTCCCCCGGAATTGTCTTCTAGTGATGTCACAGGATTATTGATAAAAGTGGAGCTTTGAAGGTGGCCATGTTTTCAAATATGTTTCAAGTAACTGGACGAGAAGAAGCTGGTTTGAATGCATTATTTAAAAAACTCAGCTGTATCACTGAGGGCAGGTCTGTTTAAATGCACTGTACAAGGCCTGTGACGTCGGCAGGCATGGGAGCGCAAAGAGACAATGCTTTTCGCTTTTTCTTTTGTTCTGCTATTTTCCTGTTTTTTCATCCTGGTTACTTCCTGTTATCATGTGTGCCTGAGGGTAAACTCTTAGTGTTATTGTTCCAGCCGCTTATCCAGTACAGGGTCACAAGGAGAGGCAGCAATGGGTACAAAGCAGGGGGAACGGGGAAACCCTAGGGGGGCTGCCAGTGCACAGCAGGGGGAACGGGGAAACCCTAGGGGGTCTGCCAGTGCACAGCAGGGGGAACGGGGAAACCCTAGGGGGGCTGGCAGTGCACAGCAGG